ACCCTCCACATGGGCGGGAACTGGGCGTCTCCGTGGAGAAGGATCGCGTCGCTCACACCACCGTCATCAGGGTCCCCGGCCACCTTCCCCAGATGGCTCTGTCCGTCCCCTATGAACTGACTCCCTAACGCCACCTTCTGCTCCGTAGTCTCTAGAATGACCCTCCACATGGGCGGGAACTGGGCGTCTCCGTGGAGAAGGATCGCGTCGCTCACACCACGCCGGTCAGGGTCCCCGGCCACCTTCCCCAGATGGCTCTGTCCGTCCCCTATGAACTGACTCCCTAACGCCACCTTCTGCTCCGTCCTAGTCTCTAGAGGAAGTGTGCGACCTGCTGCACGCAGCCCCCTTCCAGAACATCCTGCCCAGGGTCCACGTGAAAGGTGAGCCCACACCCCCCGCGGAGCCGGTGCTCTAGGAAGTTAAATAAACGGGAAAACGGAAACCGTCGAGGCTCTCTGCCATGTGGCCTCTCCACGTGCTTCTCAGTAGATGGGCTGGGGGCGGGGTGTGAACCCAGAGGGGCTGGACGTTCACTTTGATTATATTTTCAAAAGTGAAGGTTGAACAGAAAGTCATTCCTTTCGCTTTGAATTAAAACATCAAAGGAGTCGGTTCTGCACATGAATTTTCAACGATAATCTGCACGGACCATGTTCCTTTCACAGCCTTTCCTTTGTTTTCTTGTATAAACTGTAACTGCTGTGATCATTCACACAAGAGACAGAGTGTACGGTAATTTTTCCCACTGCAGAGGGAGAGAGACTCGATGCCAAAATGAAGCGACTGGAATCCAAGTACGCCCCCCTGCACCTCGTCCCTCTGATTGAGAGACTGGGGACCCCTCAGGTAAGCTCCTGGGTCGGCTGTCGCTGTTCCTAGGGCGTCCACGTCGGGCCTGGGTGAGGCTGGGTGTGCAGGCTCTGGGGGAGCCCAGACCAGGAGGCATCAGGATGTTGGACGGGTCCACTCGGCCCCAGGGTCTCCAGGGGGCGTTCGTAACAGGACCTGGTCACAGGGCATTTCACATTGTGAATCAGCTGCTTCCCTTGAACGTGCGTAGAACACCCCCTGGCAGGTGAGCCGTCCGCAGAGGTGTCGCCTGCTCCTGGTGTCCATCCCTCGTGAAGAAGGCTTGGTCCCGGGTGTTTAAGAACAGACGAGGGGTAGGGACGGGGGGTCCGACGGGAGGCCAGGTATCCGGGTAGAGCTCCGCGGTCCTCAGTCTGGGCACGTCACCCTTTTGGACCAGACGATGCTGCTCCTAGACCTGCCCCGTGTGGTGACGATGGAAGTGTCTGCACACATTGCCGCAGTTCTCTGCAGGCACCATCGCTCTGTCCTCAGCCGTGAACCCCATTGAATCGTGTAAGACGTAGGGAATGGTTTATTTTGTTTGATGCTTCTGCAAGTGAAGGTCATTTTCCATTAAGTCAGAAAGAAAACAGGGTTTGTTGGTTCAGCCCTTGACCTCCCGTGTGGCCCCATCACGTGCTGTCCTTCCCGCAGCAAATTGCCATAGCGAGAGAGGGGGACCTGCTGACCAAGGAGCGTCTCTGCTGCGGCCTGTCCATGTTCGAGGTCATCCTGACGCGGATCCGGACCTTCCTGGACGACCCCATCTGGCGCGGGCCTCTGCCCAGCAACGGGGTCATGCACGTGGACGAGTGTGTCGAGTTCCACAGACTGTGGAGCGCCATGCAGTTTGTGTACTGCATCCCTGTGGGCACGCACGAGTTCACGGTCGAGTAAGTGTGTGCTCCGGGCACAGGGAGGTGGGTGCTGAGGTGCAGTTCTCGCGTGACTCGGGGCTCAGCCTCTGGGAGTCGACCCAGGAAACGTAGGCACGTGGGTGTGCGTTCCTCCAGCGAAGGCCCCAGCCCCCTGACGTCCTTCAAGGCGGGTGTGTGACCTAAAAACAGGTTAGGAAATGGGGTCCAGAGGAACCCAAAGGGGTCTTCACCAGGAACAGGGACACGCCACCAGCTGCCCAGTTTTCCCCGCAGATGCCTGGGTCGTGGACATCTGGAGACAGAGACGGATGCAGGAAAGACTTTCATTGGTCGCCCATTCTGCTCATGGCTTCTTGTTTTTTAATCCTCACTTGATATTTTTCCATTCATTTTAGAGAGAGAGGAAGGGAAATTGAGAGAGAGAGAAACATCAGTAATGAGAGAGAATTGTTGATCAGCTGCCTCCTGGACACTCCTCAGTGGGGATCAAGCCCGAAATCCTGGCATGTGCCCTGACCGGGATTGAACCCTGACCTCCTGGTTCACAGGTCGACGCTCAGCCACTGAGCCACACCGCACAGGTGCTGATAGCTTCTTGTTTGCAGGCAGTGCTTTGGCGATGGACTGCACTGGGCCGGCTGCATGATCATCGTTCTCCTTGGGCAACAGCGGCGCTTTGCTGTCCTGGATTTCTGCTACCATCTGCTTAAAGTCCAGAAACATGATGGCAAAGACGAGATTATCAAAAACGTGGTACGTGGACAAAAGCCTTGTGTCCTATGGTGAAGTTTCACAGTAAAGCATGCTTTCAGTCTATGACAACTTTTTTCTCGGGGGATGTTTTCCATCCCAGCACATAAGGTGCCGCCGAGTGAAGCTTCCCTTTCATTCTCAAAATGAATCGTAATGAAATTGGTGAGTCAGGCAGTCCGACAGTTAAAATACCAAGTCTCCCATTTTTATGCTCTTCAGGGTTCTTAGATCTGTATGTTAATGTGGAGCCTCACGGGACCCGCGATCAGGCCCTTGGCCTACTGCCTGGTCTCCTGGCTTCCTTTGTGGTCGTCAGAGTGCCTTTCGGCTGCTCTTAGATCTTTTTATCGTTTTCATTTTCTGAAATGTTTGTCATTGAATTCTAGAAAACACGCAGACATTATCTATCTATTTGTCTACGTATCTATCTCATTTTCCCTGTGGCAGCCTTTGAAGAAGATGGTGGAGAGAATCCGCAAGTTCCAGATTCTTAATGACGAGATCATCACCGTGTTGGACAAGTACCTGAAGTCGGGCGATGGAGAGAGCACGCCCGTGGAGCACGTGCGCTGCTTCCAGCCCCCGATCCACCAGTCCCTGGCCAGCAGCTGAGGACATGCCTGTGGCTGCTTTGGGAGTCCTGGTCCCGGCTGCATCAGTCACTGTAGGGTATGTTGTTCTTGTCACACGCCAGTGAGGTTTGTAGGGACTGTCAGTGTCCTTGTACCTGTGAAAGGGCACTTTTCGATCTGAAAGCCTAAATTTATAAAATTGACTTATTTTTCTAGCCTAAAATTGTCTATGCTTTTGGTAACTAGGAAGTTTGAGACTATTGGCTGCAAATTGCTGCCTTCCCGTTCTTACAGTTATTTTCCGTTTTTCTGTGAAATGTCCAAGTGCCACCGGGGTCATCCGTGTATCCCTCAGCCAGGGATCAGTGACGTTCAGGGACTTCAGCAAGGAACATGGATAGCTAATTGTAATAAAAGTCGCTACTAATTACAGTGGAAATTAATGATTGTTTAGCTTTTGTTAGGCCTTTTGCTAATGATCTTTTATGAATTAAAGTCATTCTTTCCTTCCCTATTTGTGTCAATTATTTCAGAAAAGAGAGAGCTTGACTCCTCGTTTCTACTAAATCCATTCGTAACATCTAATGTGTGAGGGATGATTTAAAGGGTGTAGAAATAAAAGGAATGAAACCTCCTTGCTGTCGTTCATTTACTGTGACCACCCTGTGTGTGTTGGCTTGGACAAGGCACCTCTCTGCTTATCTGGGTGCACAGACTGGGTCCTTGGAATCTGAGTCTTGCCCACCACAGCTCCGGAGGAAGAGTCAGTTATCTCTGCCTGTGGACACAGATCACCGACTCCAGGGAGGACCCACGCACGTGCTACTGGAAATGCAGGGCGAGCTGTTCCCTGTGCCGCTCAACCTGAACGTGTTTTCTTGATGTGAACTGATAACCTTGGGACCTGCATTCTGATGGAGGCAGTCTCTGTCCTCAGCCCATAATGAAAGGCTAGAATCTCGGGAAAAATGACTGTGATGATTACATTGACATAACTCAGATTCCTGTGTTTTAGAAGTGTTATAAACCACACCAAAGGTAGTAAACACTTAATGGAAAACACAAGTGATCTAAGATGTTAATTGAACCTCTTGGTTATAGGTTGATGCTCAACCACTGAGCCACACTGGCCGTGCCCAATAGAGAAATTAATGGAATAGAATAGAAGATGTAATAAGAGACCCAAATCCAAAGATAAATTTTTAAAAAATATATTTTATTGATTTTTTTACAGAGAGAAAGGGAGAGGGATAGAGAGCTAGAAACATTGATGAGAGAGAAACATCGATTAGCTGCCTCCTGCACACTCCCCACTGGGTATGTGCCTGCAACCAAGGTACATGCCCTTGACCGGAATCGAACCTGGGACCCTTGAGTCCGCAGGCCAGCGCTCTATCCACTAAGCCAAACTGGTTAGGGCCAAAGATAAATTTTAAAAAATATATATTTTATTGATTTTTTTACAGAGAGGAAGGGAGAGGAATAGAGTTAGAAACATCGATGAGAGAGAAACATCCATCAGCTGTCTCCTGCACACGCCCTGCCCGCAACTAACGTACATGCGTGTACTTACTACATAAACCTCACAGGATGCTGTCAGCCAATTCCTGTGCAAAAACTATCCTCTCCTACCCTCTTGTGGCCATTCAGGGAATAACACCTTTGTGTTGCTGTCCGTGGTGCTGAAACCCCAGCTAATGTCCTGTGAACACGACCAAAAATTCTAACCAGGGCAAAACAAAACAAAAAACCCCCCACAAAATCATGGAGGCTGTCCAGGGCGGCAATCATTCCGTCCCTGGATGGACTGAAGCCATGGGTCTGGATTTTTTTTTTCCATGGGTCTGGATTTTGCACCTCTTCCCGCCCCAGCCCTGCAAAGGGAGGCCTTGGCTGCTGCACTGACATCAGGAACCTGTGCGTTCACGATGTCAGTCCGTAACCTGGAGGCTGCCAGTCCGTACAGCGAGGTGCTGGAGTGTCGCGAGACTCAGCGTTCTCGCGAGAGGCCGCCGTTATTGTGGCATGCCCTACCATGGAGGCCGCCATTATTGAGGTAGTCCGTACAGGGGAAGCCGCCGCTAACGAAAACGGCCAGTACCGAACAGGACGCTCTTAATGAGGCAGCCAGTAACCTGCAGGCCGCCAGTATTGAGCAACTAGTAGCCTGGAGGCGGCCGTGATCGCGGCAGTCCTACCCCGAAGGCCGCCATTAATGAGGCAGTCATTCAGTACCGGGAGATGCAGCGCCGGTTGGAGACCTGGGATTTAAGGAATTTCCGTGGGTGATAATGATGGAGAGGACAAGGCGCACGATCCGGCTTTGAATAGAAAGTCAAGCCTCAAAGAGAGGGACGTTACTTCTATGCACGTTTGCCAAGAACCGCAGGGCCGAGAGGGCCCTGACCGGCTGTGAAGGGGCCACGCTACCGCCGAGGATCTGACGGAGAGGGCGGGTCGGGGCTTCCTGACGCGCCTTCACGTTCCCCCGCCCCCCCTCCTCCACCGGTGACCCATGGGTTTTCCATTTATCGCCCTTTTCCGGGGCAAGAAAAAGTGGTGGCAGGGCCGGAAGCGCGGCAGCCCTCAGGTTCGAGACGACGGCGCCGTTTAAGGCAGAGCGAGCGTCCTGGTACCATTGGAGCCGCTAGATTCTTCACCCGGGCTCCGGCCCAAATTGGAGAAAACCTACAAAGTTCTGGCGGCCTATGGAAGGGCGCTGAGGGTCGCAAAGCATAGGGTACCCATCGGAAACGCAGAGCCTCCCAGGGCCACCGGAAGCCGCGCCCCTGGGCGGGGTCAGAAAGCCTCTGGGAGGAAAGAAGCGAAGCCCCGCCCCTGGGCGGGGTCAGACAGCCTCTGAGGGCCACCGGAAGCCGCGCCCCTGGGCGGGGTCAGACAGCCTCTGGGAGGAAAGAGGCGAAGCCCCGCCCCGCGGCGGAGCGCGCCTGCCATGGCTGAGCCTCCGTGCTCCGGCCCCGCTGCCCTGCGCTTAGCTGCCGCCGCCAGCTGGAGGGCCGTGCGCGGACGCTACGTGGAATACTTTCCGCGAGTGTTGGAGTTTCTGCGGTCCCTGCGCGCTGCTGCTCCCGGCTTGGTTCGCTACCGCCACCACGAGCGCCTGTGCATGGGCCTAAAGGCCAAGGTATGAGAGCCCCTGGGACCGGGAACGGGCAGAGGGGAAGGGGCGGGATGCAAGGATCAGACTAGGACAGGCCGCCTGTGGGTGGGAGCGTTGCAAAAGGGAAACCTACCCCGAAGTGGGAATTCTGAGCTCAGTCCCCTTCACAGGTGGTGGTGGAGCTGATCCTCCAGGGCCGGCGTTGGGCCCACGTTCTGAATTCCTTGTATCTCCACTTTCCAGTGTCTGGACCTACTGTAGTGCGGGACCCCAAAGCTGTGAGTCATCCCTGGGACAGTCCCCACCCACAGTGAGTCCTTGGTGCCTCTAACTTGTCTGCCTTTTTACCTTCAACAGACAGAACAGGATCTGAAGATAATCTCCGAGGCACAGGAAGCCTTTCGCCAGCAGGTGAAGCTGCTGGCAGAGGCCCCTGAGGATTTGGATTGGAAGTTGCTGGTGAGACTAGCGAATTTTGGAAACTATAATGTGGCTTTCTTTTCTAGTTCTTTTCTGACCAGGTTTTTTTCTGTTGGCAGGAACTTGAACAAGAGTACGGGGAGCCCTTTCTAGCTGCCATGGAAAAGCTATTTTTTGAATACTTGTGTCGGCTGGAAAAAGCACTGCCTACCCCCCACACAGAGCAGGTTTTCCTAGGGCAAAATGCAGAGGGCAGAGGGCAGGGTGGTTGAATCAAGGACTGTGGTCTTCATGCTCTCTTCTTGCCCACAGCTTCAGGATGTGCTGAGCTGGATGCAGCCTGGGATTTCTATCACATCTTCTTTTGCTTTGAGCCAATATAGTGTGGACATGGGGTGGCCACTTCCAGGTACCAGGACCATCTGGAAATATTAGGAATTTGGGGGTGGAATATGTAGCCTGAGATCTTTTGAGACAGCCAGCTCATTAGAAAGATTACATGGGCTTGAGACCCAAGAAACCAGACTGAGTTTATGTTCTCTTTATAAGGAACATTCTTTGCTTTTTAGAGTGCTCTGTGACTAATTCAATGAACATGTCAGAGTCCATGGAGCCCAGTCCTCCTCAGCAACCAAGACCAGCACTCCATCAACCTGTGCCAAAAAGCAACTCCGGCCCACACCTTCCTCAGGGACCAGCCTCAAGAAAGCACCCAGAACCTTTGGCTGGCCACCACTTCAATTTGGCTCCTCTAGGCCAGCGAAAAACCCAGGCCCAGTGGGCATCCACGAGGGTAGGCCATAAAGAGCACCCCACAGTCATGCTATTCCCCTTTAGGAATCTGAGTTCACCAACCTAGGTCATATATCAACCCAGAACAGGAAAGAACAAGGGACACACACAGCAGTTCCAGCAGGTGATGTGGGCACGAAAGCAGCCTCCACTGGAAAGTCTAGGAGTCCATCGCAGACCCTGGGTGGAAGGACTGTGAAGGAGAACCCAGCTGACTTGTCCGCCTCGGAGCAAAAGGCGTGAGTGGAACAGTTGCTTCTGCCTCCTAGCAGCACAATCCTTGCCTGCTTTCCCCTCATCCTCTCTTCTTTGCTTGTTCCCACCCCAGGAATTGCTGGGACTGCTCCATGGAGCCCCTGAGATTGCATACTGAGTCAGGACGGGATCAGACAGCCTCCTCTCTTGGAACTCTTGAGGGCCTGTGTTCATCTAGAAGAGTACTTAATTCTGGTTTCCTTCTTGCAGTGTGTCCTCCATCTCTGTGCAGCCCTGTCATGACCAGAGGGGACTTGGTTTTGGGCTCTGATGAGGAGGAAAATGGCCAGAGTGGAGGAATGGTGAGGAGGGAGCAACAGGAAGCTGGGGAAGAAGGGGATGGGGCAGAACAGCACAGAGACCCATGCTCCCTGAACATAGAGGGCTCAGGGGATGTTTCAGATGACAGGATCTCTCTGCTCCCTTCTCTGCAGGAGTCTCTGGAAAACTATGAGAAGACAAATTTTGACACCCTAATCCCCACCTTCTGTGAATACCTCCCCTCTCAAAGTACCAGTGCCATGTCTGCCCCTTCCCATGACCATGTAGACTCCTCTAATAGGACCAGAATGCCATCTCATCTTGCCTGTCTCCTTCCTCCTCACCTCTGCAGGCCATTTGGTGGGGATAAAGTGGAAGCCCAGCCTTGGGTTGCTTGACTCTGTGGCCCAAATTACTTTGTAATGCTTGATCATTAAACTTTGGATTTGTTAAAACACTGTGTTGGTATGAGGGGGGGGAATTAAGGCTTCAATAAGGTCAGTGTAAATCATTCCTTGGAAACATGACTGGACTCTCCAGGACTAAAAGAATCCCTTTGCCTTTTTACTTCCCTTGGAAAGTGTTGTTCAGGTATATCAGAAAGATTACCAGGGCTGAGAACCTGGTTGAGAAATTACCTTTTGCTATTCTGAAAATACCTGTATGACCTGATGCCAGAATATATACTCTATAAATTTTCATACTGCCAGGTTATCGGGAGGAGAGTGGTGTGGTGGCACTTGAATGGAGATGCTTCTTGGGAAAAGCACTCACTGTCCTTGACACCACTGGGTCAGTGCAACCTCCACTTTCCTGAAAAGCCAGGGCAGTAGAGGGCAACCACGTGACATGACAAGTAGGGGGAGACTTGACACCACTGGGTCAGTGCAACCTCCACTTTCCTGAAAAGCCAGGGCAGTAGAGGGCAACCACGTGACATGACAAGTAGGGGGAGACTTGACACCACTGGGTCAGTGCAACCTCCACTTTCCTGAAAAGCCAGGGCAGTAGAGGGCAACCACGTGACATGCCAGGGGACATGACAAGTAGGGGGAGACATTTTCCTTGAAGAGCAGGTGACCTGGGAGGTGGTGACAGGATCCCCCCTTTCCTCCACACCCTCCAAAGGGGCAGCTGTGGGGTCAGTGCCTGTGGGTGTCCTGGGATCCTGGGTGGGAGGGAAGTCTCTCTATCAGAGAAAATGAGATATGCAAGCATTTGTCTTCCAGTCACACTTGGCTCCGCCTGGTTTTGAAGCAGAGCCAGAAATTTGCGCCTGGAAGCTCAGGACTGCGGACAGAGACACAGCGGCTCTCATGTTATTTCTTGAATGGCCACAGGACGGCAGCAGAAGATCATGTTTGCACAGGAATTGGCTGAGAGTAATAAGTCTATAGATCCATAGACGTGTACACTATAATCAGTAACGTACTTGAAGGACATCATAGATATATTATACACATTTTATTCTAGGGTAGTATTTGAAATAAACCGTATATGTGTAACTAGGAGTTTTTAACTAGGCACTGATATGTGAGTATATCCTATATAATAAAAGGCTAATATGATAATTGTCCCCACTGGTGGGAGTTAGACTAACTGGGAGTTAGATGTGTGCTGACCACCAGGGGGCGACAAAGAACTTGGTGGGCATCGGTGACAAGGCACTGGCAGTGGGCAGCAGTGGAGGCACTGCCGGCCCCATGGGCATTGCTCGATGAGAGCAGGAACGTGGCAGGATGGTGGAGCAGGTGAGCGGTCGGCACCAGGCCAAGGCGGGTGAGAGCAGGAGCCCTGATCGCCCTGCCAGTTGCCCCACAGATGGGCCCTGATCGCCAGCCAGGCATAAGTACCCTACACGTGGACAAATTTCATGCATCAGGCCTCTAATACACACATAATCATCTTTATTGGTATCTATTTAGCTCCATACATACATACACTAGTGTCTGATTAAAAATGGCACCGACAGATATATTAGCTAGATATTGTGTTCTTTTTTGTTTCATGTTTTGTTTGTTTGTTTTGTTAATTCTCACCTGAGAATATTTTTTCAGTGATTTTTAGAGAGTGGAAGGGAGGGGAAGAGACTGAGAGAGAAACATGCATGTGAGAGAGACACATTGATTGGTTACCTCCTGCCATTTGCCCCGACCAGGACCAGGGATCACTGGTTTAACATTTTTTGTTTTGTTGTTGTTGTTGTTCTTGTCGTTGCTTTTGTTGTTTGTGGTGTTGGGGGTGGGGTGGGATGTGTGTGTGCCTGTTAAAGCTCAGATTCTGGGGTTTCACAGTAAAGTTACTGAATTTTTTTATTAAGATATTTTTATTAATTTCAGAAAGGAAAGGAGAGGGGGTGACAGAGAAAAACATTAATGATAAGAGAGAATCACTGATCGGATGCCTCCTGCACGCCCCCCACTGGGGATCGAGCCCACAATTCAGGCATGTGCCCTTGACTGGAATTGAACCCGGGACCCTTCAGTCCTCAGGCTGACGCTCTATCCACTGAGCTAAACCAGCCAGGGCAAAGTTACTGAATTTTAATAAGAACTAAGGAAAAGTTTGTGCACACTCTCACCTTTGAGAATCACAGCTTTATGGTAATAGTCTGCTATAAATTTTATTCAGAATGTAAAAAACAACAACCTGCAATTATTCCCGGATTCTTCCTACCAAATGGGTCCTAACCTGAGCCCCACCCCGCCCCAAGTACTTGACCTCACCGCTGTTCCCCACTCGCGAGGGCCCTCTGGCCTCACTGCAGTACCCGCCGCCCAAGCCAGCAATTAGTCCAGCGCTCCTGCGTTCCCAAACACACCCCGCCAACAGCCCTGGTCCAGCCTATCCCTGTTGTCTGCCACCCCCGAATGTCTAATATCTGGTCTATTCCCGCCTCCAGCACTTGGTCCCGCCCAGAGCCCTGGTTCAGCCTATCGGCCTTGTCTGCCACCTTCGGATATCCGAGATCAGATCTAGTCCCGCCCCGTAACGCTTGGTCCCGCCTATGGCCCTGGACCAGCCTATCCGCGTTGTTGCATACCCATTTGTTCCCGCCCATTCCATTCTTCCAACCTATCGGTGCTGATTGGAAGCCCCGGATATCCGAACTCTGGCTTAGTCCCGCCTCCACCTATTGGTCCCGCCTATAGCCCTTGTCTAGCCTATCCGCGTCGTCTGCCACCCCAGAATATCTGGCATCAGGTCTAGTCCCGCCCACTAGTACTTGGTTCCGCCTATAGCCCTGGTCCAGCCTATCGGCATTGTCCGACACCACGCATATACGGGCTCTGCCTTAGCCGTGCCCCAGCTCTTAGCCCCGCCCGCACTTGGTCCCGCCTCCCACGTTTCCAAATACTCTTGGCTTCCGGGTCCAGCTATAACCCCGCCCCTGGCCCGCTGAGTGACGGCTTCCGTATGGGATCCCTAAGGTCGCTGCTTAAAGTGCTGTTTCACACACTGACCCCGCGTTGGCGTTCGCATTGTAAGCAGCAAATACAGGTGATTTTGATCACTTGGTAGGGAACGTTATCTTACAAAATATTGCCTGCTGCACTTCTCCCCTCGGCACGCCCATTCCCCCCAAGCCCGCTAATCAGGGCCTGGTAACGAAACCGGAAGTCGACATGACAGCTCACGGGTGCGGGAGGGGTTTCGCCGCGCTGTACTGAGTCTGCGCATGCAGCCCCTGCGTCATTCGGCCGCGACCAGGTTCTGCTCTTCCGCTTGGCAGGGTCCCTGGTCCCGGCGGGCGGTTGCCGGACTGGGCTCGCAGCTCCCACAG